TATGAACTTCAATGTTTATTTTTTGTGAAGTGAGAGTTTGCGTTTCTCTAATCTGATTGATATTCGCCCATTTGTTTGCCACACGTATTCTCCACTTTATCTCCACTTGCAATCCTATATATGCTTTGGCTTTCTAGTTTTATTTTGTTTCCCTAATGGTTCTCATAGGTTTATATATTGTTTTCATGTTGTGTCATCCTAAACTTCTTTCCATTTCATTTGTAACTCCTCTGACGTTAGACAGGATGGCTTTAGTTTTTTTGTGTTTGTTTTTGAAGTAAAAGTACTTTACGCGCGCTGGACTTATGAAGTAAGTTGGTGAATGCGTGACTAAAGCGTTACGATAAGTGTAATCGGGCGAGGCGAACGGAGGTATAAGTTAATAAAAAACTATACCGTTTCTGGAACAAAATCTTGTGATTTTTTTATGGTGTTTCATTTTAGTCGGACCTCCGAGCGAAACCTTATGAAACACCTAACATAATCTATGATACAAAGTGACAGCGGTTAGTCAATTAGGATGGAGGGAATGAATATCAGATGTAGTCAGTGTGAGAGGTGGTGGCGCGGTAGAAAATGTATGATGATTTATGAAAATGAATGGTAACAAATAAAAACACAGAGATTGCACAACATGTCAGAAGGGCACTAAGTCGTATCTTCGTTAATAATAGTCGGATCACCAGGTGTGGCACATCAAATGAAAAGAAAAAGGAATGTAGAATTCATCGAAAAAGAAAAAACAAAGATTGCATGCAACATATCACAAGGGCACTAAGCCGTGTCTTTGCTGATAGTTGTCGGATCGTCACGTGCAGCAAATGAAAGAGGTTGAAAAATTGAATAAAATGATAAAAAAACAAAAAGAGGGCAACATGTCAGAAGGGCACTGAGCCGTATCTTCATAAATAATAGTCGGATCTCCGCGTACAGCACGTCAAATAATAGGGAAAGGAATGCAGAATTCATTGGAAAAAAATTAGGATGATACCAAGAGGGCAATAAGCCATATATTCGCTAATAATAGTCATTGGATCAATTGACCAAGAAAAAAACAAAGATTGCGTGCAACGTGTCATAAGAGCACTAAGCCGTATCTTCGCTAAAAATAGTCGAATCGTCACGTGCAGCACATCAAATAAAAGAGGTTGAGATATTGAATATATCGACAAAGAAAAAACAGAGACAGCGCAACATGTCAGAAGGGTCGCATCTTCGTTAATGATAGTAGGATCGCTGCGTACAGCAGAATTCATTGTGGAAGAAATAAATTAAAATGATGCCAAAAGGGTACTAAGCTGTATCTTCACTAATAATAGTCACATCATCATGTGCAGTACATTGAATGAAAGGAAGAAGAAATGTTGGATTCATCGACGAAAAAAAAAGATGGCATGCAATATTTCACAAGGGTACTAAGCCATATCTTCGCTAATAATAGTCGGATCATCACGTGCAGCACATCAAATGGAAGAGGTTGAGATTTTATTTTTATTATTTTCTTTTTTGCATTCCTTTAATTTTTTATTTATTCAACTATTATATTTTTACTTGTAGGTTATTTCACTATCATTTCATTTCAGGTTTATTGTTGCTTAATATAATTGTTACTTTCAACTATTCTTGTTTAATTATTCTTTTTTACTTGTTTCAGGGATTTGAAATCATTTTATATAGTAGACAATGGAAGTCCGAACTAGTGAAATTCATTGGTGAATGCGTGACTAAAGCGTTACGATAAGTGTAATCGGGCGAGGCGAACGGAGGTATAAGTTAATAAAGATACTATACCGTTTCTGGAACAAAATCTTATGATTTTTTATGGTGTTTCATTTTAGTCGGACCTCCGAGCGAAACCTTATGAAACACCCAACATAATCTATGATACAAAGTGACAGCGGTTAGTCAATTAGGATGGAGGTAATGAATATCAGATGTAGTCAGTGTGAGAGGTGGTGGCGCGGTAGAAAATGTATGATGATTTATGAAAATGAATGGTAACAAAGAAAAACACAGAGATTGCACAACATGTCAGAAGGGCACTAAGTCGTATCTTCGTTAATAATAGTCGGATCACACATCAAATGAAAAGAAAAAGGAATGTAGAATTCATCGAAAAAGAAAAAACAAAGATTGCATGCAACATATCACAAGGGCACTAAGCCGTGTCTTTGCTGATAGTTGTCGGATCGTCACGTGCAGCAAATGAAAGAGGTTGAAAAATTGAATAAAATGATAAACAAACAAAAAGAGGGCAACATGTCAGAAGGGCACTGAGCCGTATCTTCGCTAAAAATAGTCGAATCGTCACGTGCAGCAGATCAAATGAAAGAGGTTGAGATATTGAATATATCAACAAAGAAAAAACAGAGACAGCGCAACATGTCAGAAGGGTCGCATCTTCGTTAATGATAGTAGGATCGCTGCGTACAGCAGAATTCTTTGTGGAAGAAATAAATTAAAATGATGCCAAAAGGGTACTAAGCTGTATCTTCGCTAATAAAGTCACATCATCATGTGCAGTACATTGAATGAAAGGAAGAAGAAATGTTGGATTCATCGACGAAAAAAAAGATGGCATGCAATATTTCACAAGGGCACT